ATACAAACGATAATATATGTAAATAAAATAAACTGATAATGGGTCATAATGATTTAGATTGTCCTTGCGGTGGGTATATAGTTAAATAATATTTACACTGCGTTGATATGTTATGAATGATTCATGCGATCCTTCATATTACGCAACGGTCTCCGTAAAAACGGGCTGGATGCCTAACAACGACGGATTTATAGGGGAAACGGGATCCAAGGAATCTGCACCCCCCCCAGACACCGACCGATATGATTTCAACAGTTGTCTAAAATGGAGGCACGATAGTGATGAACACATTTTGATTTTTCTGGAACCCCCCCCCGGAGAAATGTCGAAAATCCGACACTGGCACCTATACAGTCGAACGAAAACAACGATGATGGACGATAACGGATTTGAAAATATTATTATTATTTTAATTGTGATGCACCGTCGCAAAATTTGCATCGGCTAAACACTACGCGATACATAGTATACGGCGATTCGTTCGCAAAGAACGGTCCTAATTGGTTTTTTTTTTAGGGTGCTAATTTCAAACTTGTGAGGTGCTAAAGACGTCCTAGCACCCCATACCTGCGCCTATAAGAACGCCGGATTTATAGTCACTATAAATCAAATTTGTCTTTTTATAAAACACATAATATGACCGCCTCTCTATAGTCCTACAAGCCAATTAACCACGATTCGTTCTCTGTATCAACACGTCGAATTTCTCGATGGATAGCGTTCTATCGAATTTCGAATTTCGACAAACCCCCGTAGGAAAAGATCGCAAGGTTTTAAGTATATTTAAGCGTGATGGGTGGTCTCAACGCTGTAACGAGATTACGTAACGGGCGTTTCAAATAAAAAGTTTCATAATACCAAAAAAAAAAAAAAAAAATAAACACGATTTTTCCCTAATCCTCGGCACAGCAGTGTCCGTCTACTGCGTATGTCGTTGACGTAGTACCAGATACGATGAGTATATTACACATCATTATTAGATATAGTTAATGACCTTCCACGGGCACACGCGTGTGTCGGACGCGCCGCTGCACTATAGCTGCGGTCTCGACATCTCCGCCAGAGTATAGCAGGTAATTTATGTAAAAATGTAAACGGACGCATTTCACGGGAGTGCACACGAAAATCATAATAGTAATATTTAATACGAACCACATTATACTGTCGAAATGGCTGTGTGCGCTAAGAATCCTTGAAACAAAAAAGCACCTCGAATCTCAGAAAACCTACTCGAAATATTGCGCATGAAAGTTCTGAGAATACGTTTAAAATTTAAAAATAAAAAGTTCTAAGACGCGTTACAATGTGACGTTTATAGAAAATGTGTTCTTTAAAAGTCTATATAGTTAATTGAACGCAAATGGATAGTTGTAAATCAAATGTTGACATTTCTTTTTATAGTATAAAAATATCAGGGCAAAATATTGAAAATATTAATTTTCAACGATTCTCGAACGATTTAAGAAAAAAACCGAAATTAAATGTACTCGAAATCTTCGTATAGATAACGTATGTATAATGTATATTATCTACGGACAAATATAATTGTTGTATGCATAAAAACGTGAATTGACAAAAATAATAACACAAACGAGAGAAAACAAATAGCCGCGGCCAATAAAAAAAAAAAAAAGGTAAATGAAAAGACCTGAACATTGGGAAACGGCACGAATAAAAGTTTCAAATACCTGTACGTACAAATTCGACGCGCGTTTCATAACAATTCGAACTTTTTATCACAACGAACATTCGCAGTCCTATAATTACGGCGCGTATTTTATGATACGTGTCTATCGTCTATGCGACGATATATCAGCGCTATTATACAGCGATGAGAAAAATTTGAATGCACGAAAAAATTTGCGGTCTGCTCGAACTCGATAATATTATAATTTATATATATATCGATCACTTTCACTGGTCCTGCTTTCACCCGCGGTTATACTCCGGCATATGCCCGCGCACCGCTGAACAACACACCTATCGACGAAATCCCATATACGACAACACACACACACACACACACACACATTAAAATATGTAAAATTATAATATACAATAACACCACGACGACGACGACGACGTTTCCTCGTAATCTCGTATAATATACCTACAGGCGAGTCGGACGTAAATAAAAATTCGGCCAAACGAGTAGGACGCAATACCCAATGAATAAATTATATTGTAATGTACATACCTATATCGAATCCAGGGGAAAAAAAATATTTGCCAAAAATACCGCCGTTGTAAACTACAAGCTATTTGGAAAAAATAAAAAAACAACAATAATGAATCTGTATATATATATATATATATATATATATTGGTAAAAATTGACTTGGTAAGTTGGTCCGAAAATGTAATAGTTTAAAATCGGAACATTTCAATGTGTCGCCATTGATTAGAAATCTAAATATTCCGACGCATCCAATAGATGTTTTTACGTCTCGAGACTTCCTATTGCGTTATAGTATATTATTCTGATCAGTATACGGTCTTTTCGTCCATGTTAAGAATTTTGTTTTGTATTAATTTACAACGGGGGCTTTTTTAGACTCCCGGGTTTCGGAACGGCGAAAATCGAATTATGTTTGTTGATTTATGAGTTAACTCGACGATACCGATGAAACGAAAAAAAAAAACCGCTGATACAGTGATACTGCTAATAGGTATGATTTAGGCGGAAAGCTGAAAGGGAGGATATGTAGATTAATTTGTAATTTTATATCTGTGCGCAATGATAAACCGTCATATTAACAAATAACGATTCTGAGCGGAATATTGTGAGTCGTATTTGTTGCCCAGATAACCCAAAAATCATTAGAAATTATACTGTCAGAATTGCCAGTTTTTCCTTTTTATTAATGATGAAACTTCACGGACAATCAAAAAAACATTTTTAAAACTATAAAATATTATAAACATTTGTTTTAAAAAGCGGTTCAACCGACTGTCCCGAGTACTTCATCGATTGGTCCGATTCAACGTTTAAATATTCCTTCGTAATATATAATAATACAATTTATCGATTAATCGGAATCGTAGACAAATCCTTTGTTCTCAGCAAAACCATTGTCTACGCGTGTGCGTATAATGTATAAACATAATAAACAGTGCGTAGGTACGTATAAACGCATTATAGTATGTTATTACGCAAACGGGTGGTCAATTCCAGACATTCCAGTGTTGAAACGAACCTAAAATAATCCGCCCAGATCCTTTAATCTACCCAGTACTCAGATACCGACATTCCCAATGTATCATAAAGCGTTCACCTATATATTTTCTAAATAAGTAGCAGATGGGAACTGTATAATATTCGATTATTTTGAAATTTTAAACGAAATCGACAAGCAACTTCTCTTCTCAAAGACCGCGTCCCGAGCACGTATTCAGGGGGAGGTTTAAAATATTTTTCATACATAAACTTGTAGTTAGTCTCTGTTGCATTATAAATATATACTTACTTTACGAATTTCGGGGAGGGGGTGTTTAACCCCTAACTCCCCCCCGCCCGTATACGGGCTTGCTGCGTTCGTTACGCCACTACATTTAACGTTTAACATTTCTTTAATATTTTGTGTGTACAATGTTTCGAATGGTTCTTTCTGTAATATTTTTTCGCGCAAACTATACGGTTTTAGTCGGGAGAAAAATAGGGTAATAATCGAGCTAATTAAGCGTTTGATATCGCGTACGTCCATTTACCACTGCGCGTTACGAACAATTCTTCGGAGGTCGTCATAAATCCGATAATGTCACAACATTACATTGTTGTTTTGTGTCGTTTATTGCGCTTTGCTTTCCAGCGATAATATTTGATCGTTTTTTTGCCGATTTTTCCGTAGATAATGAAGATATGGATGGGCTATTCATACCTTATCAGTGTTTCAAGAGGGACGGGTACAGTCACTCCAAGTTTCATAAAGTGAGACGTTTTATCTGTCTGTAGACCGATCAATGATAAATCGTCCGGGTTTACCGCCCCTCCGGGAACATCGCCCCCATTTACAATTAATGTGACTGGGGCGGCCTATCCATTTATTTATTGTCCATAGTTTTTCCGGACGCGACAAAACGTCTTCGCGGGGGAAATCCAAGGGCCGGCGCGTCACCGCCCCGACCGGACGATCCGCTAATCATATATTATGATGCGCGTATGTTCGTACACGCACATCAGCCTTGTACGGATTTAACGATAACACGAATAATATTGCTCGATGCGTATACGAGACGACGGATTTTTATGCAATAATTTCGTATTGCAGTAGAGAAAAAAAAAAAAAAAACACCGATATTTTCAGGTCGGCCGAACGAGTACCTAAGACTGATATTACGTGTGTGTGCGGGTACTAGTTGTCTACACTATATACAATTGCGACGGAATTCTTCGACGAGCACGGGTCCGAGGACGACGGAAAACATAATACACGAGTCGAAACCCCGACGCGACGAGCGTCTCTCAACGACGATAAAAAAAAAAATAATAATTGTCGCGTTGTCAAGGACGGGCGAGATGAGTATAATATTATTGTAACCCGCGTAAACGGCCCGGTCCATCGCGTCCCGCATACGGCGTGCCTACGCGACGAAATATATATAGGCACCCGCTCTTTACTGTATTTGTTTTTGGATTTTTTTCCCATTTTTTTTCTTTTTTTTTTTTCCCACAATATTCCTGAGAACGCGCATTATAATAATAATACAGGCGCAGCGCACAAAGCTCGGCGGTCCCGCTGGGCGTAGTCCAGATTTAGAAAAAATCACGTATAACAATGTACACACACACACACACACACACACATGCGCATACTTACTTATACGTGAGCGCGTTTGTGTGTGTACGTGCGCGCGCATTTCTGCGTGTGTGTACCGTGTACGCGGCGCGCGTGTGAGAGAGTTTGCGTGCTGTATAAGAGAGTTTGGTGTAAGCGGGCGCGCGCGCGCGCGCGTGTGAGTATGGTTGTGTTTTTTTTTTTTGGATTTCGAATCTCACACGACCGGAATACTCAAGTGGGGCTGAGGTCGCGCCGGGTAGGACGCGCGCATATAAAAACAAGAGGCGAGCTCCGGCCGCTCACCAGTGCCGATCATCGCGTTATCGCCCGCGAAAGTGAACTCGATCCGATTAAACAACAACTCGATTACAAGAAATAATAAAAAAAAAAAAAAAACCATATTATCATTTCCCGAGTGACTTCGTAAAATACGTCACGAATATAAACATCGTCTCTTCGGTCATCCGATCCGGCGTCCACGAAACCGTCCGTTTACGATTAAAACCGGCAAAATGATGATTTATTTACTCCCGTGCGTTTTGCTCCTCTGCAGCACGTATTCAGGTAACGATATGACATATTAACATAATATAATATCCGGTTTTCACTATTGCCGCGTAATGCGCACAAATCGTAATAAACAACGAGATACGTAATGTTTTCGAATTTTTCCGGTTTATTTTTTATTTTTTATTTTTTTTTCCTATCAATCATTTACGGCCGCTCGTATTGTCGCGTATGTATGTATAACACAAATATATTTTGGAAAAATCAAACCCGCGCTTCCGTTACGATAAAACACGCCGGGGTTCCGCGCGTTGGTTTTAAGCTGTAGGCGCCTGGCGGCATTACCGTCGGTACCCCGGGTTCGTACTTGGGATTTCGTACTCGGCGATTATCGGCCCCGCGGTTCGCGTAATAATAACCGCGCCGCCGCGTTCGCGACAATCCGCCGGACCGACCGACCGACCGAACACCGATAACCGGTTACATCGTCGTCGTCGTCATCACCGTCGTCGTAATATCGTATCCCCAGAATTCGGACGTGTACGGTCTGCGTCTGTCGCACGCGATACGCGGTGAAAGAAAAAGAAAATTTTCGGCGTTCGGGTTCCATTGTACGTACACGTAGTCGGCGGCGACGCACGTCTTTGCGTGACGTCCGGCCGCGGTGTGGGAAAAGTGAAATTTCGACGCACGTTTCCTCTTGCGGTCCATGCGTTTTCATAAACGTTACATAGGAAATTCCGTTACCCGGGAAACGCGTTTCCACACCACACGTACGTAACACGCGCGCACACACAACGCATCTACGTGTCTCCGCGGCGGCGGCGGCGGCGGCGGTGTTTGCGTACGGCCTTCACGCGCTGCAGTCGCGCCGCCGCCCCGGCAAACGGGTCTGTTGCCGGTCCCCGGACGCTCGGTTCCTACTCACTTCCTAACGCCGCGTTATTAAAAAATAATCACAAAATTATAGGTGCGGTCGAACTGCGCGTATACATAATGGAATACAACGCGCACGGGAAAGTATGACGTACAGTAATAACAACAACGACGTTGTACGATAGTTTGAATGTCCACATAACGAGGCGGTATTGTGGTAGTAATACTTAAATATAACGTACTATACTTATGTATCCATATAAAATTATACGTGTTACGCGAGTGTGTGTGTGTGTGTGAGGTAACCTTCGGGCGAGAAAGACGGCAGAGAGAAACACGAGTCGAAAGAACGATAGAGTAAGAGAGGGACGGCGAGAGAACGTTGAGAAAGATATTAAGAAAGAAAGAAAAAAAAAACTAGTAAACGCGTTTGAACTCGATTTTTATGAACCGGAAGGCGTGTGTGCGTGTGCGTTACATAATCGCGTCACCGACGACGTTTTCGAAGGCAAAGACCGCGGGGGAGAAGACAGACGTAACGCCGCCAAACCCTCGTTTCTTCTTCTTCTTCTTCTTCTTCTTCTTCTACTTCTTATGCTTCGGCTTCTTATGCTCCGGCTTCTTATTCGGCCACTCACCTCTACGGGCGACGGCGTCTGATGAATAATGGATAGCCGACAATGTTAACTTGCGCAGTCGGGACACGATCGGTGAGCTCACGATAAACGCACACAACGCGTGTATAATAATGTCCGATTGCGCAACGCGCGCGACGCACGTGCCCACACATAATAGTATATAATATTACGATGTATCGTTACGCACGCGCGTGTATTATATTTATGTTTTTCATAACGCGCACGTACAGGCGCGCGGGGCTAAAGACTCTTGTCGACTTTTGGGCGCGCCCAAGGACGGTCACCGTAACCCATATAATAATAATATTGTGTGTTATGTATTTGGGCGCGCGGTACGCGAATAACGACATAACGCGCGGGACCGTTGTTCCCGGCCGCGGGTTGTGTGACATAATCCCGCGTTTTCTCGTCGCGGAATGCCGTGCGACAGGATTACAATGTCAAAACGCGCGGACCGTAGTACGCGGTCGGGATAGTACCGCGCCCGACTGCATTTACCGCGCGGGACCGTAAAAAACGGGTTCGCTTTCTATTGTCGTCGCGCGCGTTATTTTTTTTTTTTTTCGCTCGTTCCTACGCCGCGTCCTCGGGCCCGGTCGGTCAACGGTCCGGTTTTCGTCTTCCGTCCGCGCCGCCGGCAATCGCGGCGCTGTTACGATATCGTTAGCCGCACTTGCGGCAACCGCGTACGGGCCAAGGGTCAACGCGTTGCGCAACGAAAACGACCGCAGACGCGATCCATAATCTCTCGCGTATTGCGACAGCCGCTCGCGCGCCCGAGAGAAACTAACAACGTCGTACTGCCGCGGTCGTTTTTAATGCCGTATCGGTTGGGGGTTTTTTATTTTTTTTCCCCCCGGTCTCCGGACAACGCGCGGGTGACGCGGTCCGCGATGCGGCAACGACGTACTGTTGGCGACGAAGCGCAAACCGGCTGCCGCGGCCGCGGCCGTCATCCGCTTCGCCGGCCGGACCGTAATATCGCGAACGACACCGCCGCACAACCGCCTGACGAAAACCGGATGCGGCGCGCGGGGCACGGGCGACCGGTGCGCAACACGCAACACTGTCGTGCGTGCCGTGTACATTACCTAATATCATTACGATTATTATTGTTTTTGACCCAGAAACCGCCGGGGCGGGTTCCATTCTCGGACGGATATTACGGTTCGTAGTGTTTTTTTTTTTTTCAATCTCTCTCTCTCTCTCTCGTTTTTATTACATTTCGCGCGATCGCCGCCCGGGGGCTATACGACACGCGGTATTATTTGCTATTGTCGTCATTATGCACACCCGCAGATGGCGGCGCGCTCTCGTGCCGGGCGGGCCGTGACGTTGATATTATTGTCTCGGGCGTGTACCGCTGCCGCGTTCGTCCGGTAATACACCGGGAGGGCGGTAGGTGGGCAGTAGATGTAAAATAATAACGACAATAACGAGCCGCGGAATCGTTCTCCTCGGGTCGTGTTACGGTTGAAAAGTCTACGCGCGATTTAAATCCCGCGGGCTCCGGCGCCGGAGGCTCGCGGGACCGCACTGCGGAGGAGGAGGTTCGTTTATACAATACGTATTAATGAGAAAAAAAAAAAACAAAAAAAAAAACTCCGCGCGCACAGGCGGGAGAGGCGCGGATTTTATAATTTATATCGCGGCTCGCATACAACGTTTATAATAGTGTAGGTAGGCGCGCGAACGCAGAGAAATAATAATTACATAACGACGTGTGCGCGGTGTCGGTGGCGGCTACCGAGTTTTGAATACCCGCCGCCGTTGCATAAGACGCGGCCGGACACAATGGGGCGCCCCAAGGTCCTCCCCCCCCCGGGAAACAACGCATACCTATTTACTCGTATTATAACGCGGCCGCTATGCCGTGCGACTGGGTACAGGCGGACGCGTTCTCGCATCGACGGTGGCGCGTTTTTACTATTATTATTATTATTATTGTTATTATTGTCGTTGTTGTTGTTGTTGTTGTTGTTGTTGTGCGCGCATAACCGTGTGGGTATCGGTATAATCGCAACGCGCAATGTTATTGTTATAATAATACGACGATGCGTTTTTTTGTGTTGCGCAGTTCACGGCCAGAGGGAAGAGTTCAAGTGTCCGGACGACTACGGTTTCTATCCGCACGCCACGTCCTGCGACAAATACTGGAAATGCGACAACAACGTGGCCGAGCTCAAGACCTGCGGCAACGGGCTGGCGTTCGACGACACCGATCCCAAATTCCTGAAGGAGAACTGCGATTACTTGCACAACGTCGACTGCGGCGGCAGATCGCAATTGGGTAAGATACGCGCTCGCCCCTCTCTCACCACCCCCCCCTCCCCCCGAATACCGTGTAATATTATTATCGCGTGTGACGTGCATTTGTCATTTGGGGAGTCATTCGAAATAAAATCGCGGGTCCCCGCACTAACGCCCGTGATCTGTGCGCGTAACACATCCGTGTTTCGCGATGTCTTCTTCTGATAATAATGTCTCGCCGGATTTGTTCTCGTTCAGAACCGGCCATCAGCACGTTGCACTGTCCCAGACTGTACGGAATCTTCGCGGACGACGTCAAGTGCGACACCTTCTGGAACTGTTGGGGAGGCGAGGCCAGCCGGTACCAGTGTTCTCCGGGTTTGGCTTACGACCGCGAATCCAGGGTGTGCATGTGGGCCGACCAAGTGCCGGAATGCAAAGTCGAAGGTTAGTAGTCGTGTATATTTTATCAACATATACGTGTAGGTGTATAATATGACCGGTAACCGGTATTCCGGGCGCCGTAACGACATTTGAAAACGTATACAATTAAAATCGAATTAACAAATACGAGAAATTTTAACGACTTGTAACATTATACGTGTTGAAATTCCCGCGCGCAGAGGTAGCGAACGGATTCAACTGCCCGGCCGCCGGCGAAGTGTTAGCGTCCGTGGGATCGTTCAGCAGACACGCTCACCCTGACGACTGCAGGAAGTATTACATCTGTCTGGAAGGTACGCCCAGAGAGTACGGATGCCCGATCGGCACCGTTTTCAAGATCGGCGACGGCGACGGTACCGGAAGCTGCGAGAACCCCGAAGACGTTCCCGGATGGTAAGCATAACACACGCACACGACAACGACGATAATACAATCGTTTCATCGTTACATAATATTATTCTGCAGCCGGCGAATTGCGTTTCCGCACGGCCCGCGACGCTACTTTTAACGCGCGTGTGCATCGTGCATGATAATAATACATAATATTTCGGTATTATTCACATTTTCGGCGGCCGCGGAATAGCTCGAGCTAAGGCTTAAGTTATCATAAATATTGCGTGTTTTCCACTGACGGCGATTTCGCGTCCGAACGCGACGCCGTCACGTTTATTTCGCCCGCTAATGGAAAACGACCCGAGCGACACGTTTCGGAGATAAGCCGCTACAATGATACCCCCCTATCACGTGTACAAGATACGCGCGAACCGTTATCGATATCGGTTTAGCCGAGATATCCGTTGCATGGTTTTTCCATACTCTCAATGATATTACAACGGCCCGCGATACGCGATAGCCATACGCATTGTAATCTCGCGCGCATGCCTTGCAATATCAGTGTTTTGCCCCGTAGCCGCCGACTAAATTGCAATGCGAGAGAAAAACAAAAAAAAAAAAAATGTTAAGCAAATACGCATTAGGAACCGCATTCTGTTGGTTCGATATTTTTCATAACACCATATTGCAGTATTGTACGTATATCGCGTTGTTAATGAGTCCTTAAAAAAATTATCAAAAAAAAAAAATAATACGCAATTAAGCGCGGTCGTCCGTACGGAAACACAATTGGCTGGCGTTTCATTCGCAGAATGCATCGTTAATATTATTGTTATTATTATTATTATTATTATATTAACGATTCGGCTTGCATGTGGCTGCATGTGCGCGGTCGTCACGACGGCTAAATGTGAAAACGCGAAATGCATGCGAAAGCATATGAAATGTATTATCACAATGGTATTTATAAATACGATCGTATACATATAATAGGTACGCGTAGTTTCTCTGGGAATGGCTGTACATCGCAATAATAACACATGCCGTGTACGAAACGCCGCGAACGCGGTTTTCTCGGATAACACGCGAGTATGTGGACGTTGTCGTCGACGCGTTAAAGTCTCCGGCGTCACGCGCCAACAGTGGCCGATAATAATATTATGGGTTAGGATTAAAGTCTAGGGCTCGGGACTTGTTGCGCTTAAAATACACTGTGAAAAAAAGGAAAAACACTTGAAAGCCTCGAAAAAGCCTTGGAAAAAAAGCACTTCCGGCGAATATGATTAAACCGAACGGTAGAAGGGGGGGGGGTTAAAGGTCCCTCCAATGACTCTAAATTATTAAATGTGATTCTCGAACATGGCACGAATGATTGACGAAAAGTTATTTTGTTTAAATGAAATTGTATATGAAAAAAAAAAATAATAATAACTTTGGGTTAATAACTCGTGTAGCGTTAGAAAATTGTATTTAATGGGTTAAAGCCGTTAGAAAGAGAACGATATTTAAACCACTCTACCGTTTTTGAATTTTTTTTTTTTTTTTTTTTAATATTTTCCACGTGCTTTTTTGACGTTTTCAAACGGTTTGTTTTGTGGATTTTAAGCGCAATAAGTCCCAAGCCCTGCATTGTAATAGTTACTGTTCTACAGTTGTTTTCCTCTCGTTCGCCGTTGCGGATCCTTTACGGCGGCGGACGTTTCGCGATATTGACCGTACTGTATTTTCCGGATCTGCCCAATCGGACAATCAAACAATGAAATCGCCTGCAGTACCTATGCATACGCTTCTAACGCCCGTTTTTTTTAATCGCCAAGTGTCCGCGGGACGAAACGTCCTAGACTCCTGCATTTTCGCCCGTTTTATTTAAAACAAACGTATACTATTTATACCGGCCGCCGTACCGTGCCCACAATAATCGCGGACACAAAACAACGGCGCGACGTCATTACGGCGGTCGTCGAGTGTGAAATCCGGCGAACGCGCATAACATCACGGGCCGATTGTTTCGCGTACCAGGATGTTACGATACCGCCGCGATGGACAACAATATTATAATCTCATCCGATCGGCAAACATTTTTTCGATTGCCCCGTCCGCATGCGTATTTGTTACGTGGAAAAAAAATAAATAAAAAAATACCACAACGTTCGCGGGTGTACACCGTAACGGCTCGTATTACACGCGTGCGGGCGCAACCAGACTCGGGGACGCTACACTTACGGACACATCACAAACTCGCGGGTGCGATACGTCCCCGCAATCACCTTTACGCATCGCTTATAACAACCAACTACACGTTTCATTCGCATTTTTTTTTTTTTTTTTTATAAGTATATCATAACTTTCGACTTTGTTTTTTTGGCCACACGTCATGCGTTGTCTGCAGTAATGGTAACCCGCATTTGGTCCGCTTATTAACTATGAAATACTACACGGACGAAATATTTAGTCGACGTATTGGGTATTTTCGGGGGAGGGGGGGTGCCTATTTTAAACTCGGGGACGTCAAAGGCACCCTAGCACCTCCTTGGTTGCGCCTCTGCTCGCATACGCTGCGATCCTCCGTATCACACTTCGCGATCCGGCGATTTTTGGTAGATTTAAATTGAATTCTGTCTGTTGTTTTTTTTGTCGTTCGATCATCATTACGAAAATATGGAATTGTTTGAGCTTTGTTTTCACGCTTGTAAAATTTAAACTACGGTAGCAACACGTATTAACACTATGGTATTCTAATATTATTATTGGATTTACGATTTATGAATTTACGACAATAACACATCATAATACACGGTTTGGAATTGTTTTCCCGCGGAACAGTGTGGTATTTATTGTACTGGGAATCGATCGTCACGACGGTAACGAATCGTTATAACAATTTTTTTTTAATTTTTTTTTTTTCAAATACACTATCCCGTGCCTATATTTCAACCGTACAACACATTATCGCCGAACAGTAATGGCAGTAAAAAATTGCCAATAAAAACACGTAACCGCCGTTCATACGTGCGCACATCGCATTCATGGTCCGCACGGGCATACGTTTCTTGATAATTAACATCCGAAATAACGTAGAAAAAAAAAAAAAAAAAAAAAAAAAAAAGTAATAATAAACAAAATATTTCTCTCGTTCAGACCGCGAAAGTGAAAGCGATACGAATAATATTCGCGATACGCACAACGGCGATAGTAACAATATTATACCCGTTCGAGGAAAAAGTTCTCTCGGCCGTAATATACGGGCACTGGTCCAGAGTGTCCCGCAGAGACGTACCCGTTTTGGCAATGGCTATCGCGACGGCGGGGACAATCAAATTTCGTTGTTTTTTCCTCGTTTTACGAATAACGAAAACCGTTGTTGTCTCGGGCGATCTCGCAACGGGGACGTCTTGTCTTAATATCCATATCTTCGCCGGCACACCCTGTACACCGTGACGATCGTACGCGCACACGGTGACCGGCCAGTTCGAATCCCGTCTACTCGATTTTCGTTTTTCTCGATCCGCACGACGCGCCCGACTGGCCGGCGGCGTCCGGTGTATTTAACCCCGCTCCCGCTATTTTTCTATTATTTTTTTTTTTCCCCCTTCTCAAACGCACCGATCGAATTCGTACATTCCGTGCGCTTCGTCGGCTACGACGGCTACGGTTGTTCCCGAAAATCCCGGCACGTTATCTCCGTAACGCCGCGACGATTTCGATCGCCAATCTCGGCGCGTCACTCGCAACGAGGGGTAAATGATACCGGGCGATCGCACGGGTAGTAGTGGCGGGGTTTCCGTTTTACTACCATTGTCGCCGCCGCCGTCGCGGTCGTTTCCGCGCCGCGTGTCATTTTCTCGTTTCGTCGCGATTTTTTTTATCAACGCCGTTTCGTTGTCGTCTCGCTCGCGTTTCGCGCGCGGCGCACGTTCGGACCACGAATTTCACGAAACGCTTTTCCGCCGCTCGTCCGGCCGCTCGTTTAGAGACCGCTGTCCACAATTCGGACGGGCGTGCGGCGCGGTAAATCCGGTTGTTTGTTTTCGTTTTTTTTTTTTCTCTCGGCCGGCATTTCCCCCCGAGGAATCACCAACTCTGTCGTTTAACGCGCGACGAGCGCCTGTCTGACGAAATTTAAAAAATCCCGACATTATTATTGGTTTTTTTTTTTCTTTTACCCGTACGCGTTCTGCCGAGCCCCGCGGGGACGCGACGCGTCTCTTGTCGCGTCGTTAACGAAGTTTTTACACGTCTTTTTAATGGAGATTTTTTTTTTTTTTTTTCTCGTTAATACTATTTCGAAACCCGCCGTCTGGGTCGGACGGCGGTTCTCTTAAACGGGTTTGATATTGTTATTGCTTTTTTTTATTATTGGTGTCGGCGTTCGATTAATATACATTTTTTTAGATTTTTTTTTTTTTTTTTCAATATCATTTCATTCTACGCGATATCTGTGTACACGATAGTAATAATAATAATATTGCACAGGCAATAATTGTAGTCATTATAATTCTGATAGTAGTCGGGATATGCGTACGCTGTTACGAAAGTAATCCAGTGATATTTTCCGTAACGTGTAACGGCCGCGGACTGGGTAAAAATTAGAAAATACAAATGACAAAAAAAAAAAAAAAAAAAAAAACCAAAAACCAAACCTACCTGTATGTGTGTGCGCAGTGAGGACTATTACGGCGACCTGGACCTGAAGGCGATCAGGAAGAGCGAACTGCTGTCCGGTCTGGACAACAAGTCCCGGCAACAACCCGCGGCCGAGACCAAGGCCGCGGCGCCCAAGCCGCAGCCCCAGCAGAGGCAACAGCCGTCCAACAGGCCGCAACCGCAACAGCAACAGAGGCCCCAGCCGCAGCAATCGCCGGCCGCGCCGCAATCGGCCAAAGACTACGACGACGCTTAGAGACCGACGCGCATAAGAGACTATAATATTATCATTATATGTGTACCTATATATAATTATATATTATAACCTATAATATTATTATTATTATTTTTTTCATTTTTTTTTTTTTTTATCGTATACGACGGCACACGAGCGCGACGATTTTTCCGACATTTTTGTTTTTTTTCTTCCGTTTTATTACTATACTGTTTACTACCTTTGACGCTGTTATTATGGATTTATTTTTTCCAACGCGGCCGTCTTACATTATGCGCGCGACAATAACGCGAACGAAAATATAGGCGCTCGCGCAGCAATTCAACAGGTTTTTTTATATTCTTTGAATATTTCTTTTTTTTTTTTCGTCTCATCCGCGACCAACAATTACACCCGGTCCGTTCGGTTATTCCGTCCTGATCGTCCCACTCCCCTTCCCCCCTCCCCACCACGTTATCCCCGTCGGCCGTGCGCGCGGTAGTTTTTCTACACCGCTGCGAAGTTCACACGCGCGTACCATTATTGTCGTTGTCGTTGTCGTTGTCATTATTCGAAACACCGACGCGCGGCGGCGGCGGTACGACCGCGTCTGCACGGGTCACCGACGGCCGCGTACGGACGGCAATTTCCGTCGTATTCAAGCGCAAAAATCAAAAAAAAAAAAAAATAATAATAATAATAAAAATTTACGCTCGCAATCTAAAAATACTGCCCGCCCCCCGAATATGAGCGCGTGTTCTTCAACGCTTTTCCCCCCCTCCCACCCTCTCCCTTTTACTTAAATATCGCTTATCTACATTGCACTACTCTCGTAACAAACCGAACGCGTATTATCATTGTTATTATTATAGGCATAATTATTACAATATACCAATACTGTATTACAATAATAACAATATCCGCACGAAACGCCTGCACTACTTGAACGGTGACCGTTCGCGCGACATTTTAAATTTATGCGTTTTTTTTTTTTTTTTATTATATCATTGTGTAAAAAAATTATTATAACATAATTTACGTATTATATAATATATGTGTACAAATGATTACGGTCTTATTTTAATTTTACGTGTACTTATATATTATTATTATTATTATTATTATTATCCGTTCGCGCGACATTTTAAATTTATGCGTTTTTTTTTTTTTTTTTTTTTTACAATAATTTTATATATTTTTTTTCATGTAAAATTATCTATATATATATATATGAAAAAAAAAATATATATATATAAAACAAAAAAAAAAACTTAATTTTATCGTTTTGATTACCTGATTATTAAAAAAAAAAAAAAAAAAAAACCGAAACAAAATACACAGTTTATTGTATATATATACATATATTACATTACATACATAATGTGCACGCACGCTTTAATTGTTATTATATTGTTCGTATTGTATTAGCGAATGGTGGCCACTGTTTCCGCGTCGTCGTCACTTTTAAAATATAACACGCCTGCGCCCCGCGGTGTTGAATCCGGGTAAACTCCACGGGGCAGGGCGAATCCTGCTCGGGATTTTATTCGCCGTCCTCTCCCTCCCCCCCCCTCCCCGTCGGACAAATACAAATGTCAAAAAAAAAAATGTACACACTTGGGGATGTGTACAATACCCGTTAAATTTCGCATAGACACGACCAACGTAGAGAGAAAAAAAAAAAATAAATAAATAAATGGGATCGTCGCCCAGGAAAATTGACCGGATACCTGCGCTTATAACTTACTACGCGTCACGTCCCGATGCGAGTCTCCCGTCCGAACAGTCGGCCCGACGCGTTGACGCACATCACCAGTGCGTTAGCGACAACGCGCGGAACACGATAATTAACTATACACGCCGATACTAAATAATAGAAAAAAAAAACAGCCGCGAAATGGCGAAACGATATTCTGGACAAAATATCGCTCTGGCGCGCCCGGTGTAAATATTTGTAAATATCGGTAAAATTTGCACGCAATCTGTACGTATTGTATGACTGGGGGAGGGCAGTTACGTTACGCTGCGCCGACGACGGTACGCGTAAAACAATATTTAATTCGGCGCCCGCAGTTGCCGATGCCAATGACCGTCATCGACTTTTAATGCGCGGTAAGCTCTACAGAGTTGCCCGCACGAAAACCCGTACGCTCCCGAGCCGACCGGGCCGAGTTTGATCCAATCTAATAGGTTTCGGACCGCTTTTGAACGCGTAACGTTCAGATTACGCGGGCACCTAGCCGCCCCCGCGATTTTCATAATAGGTCTTTCGGCGAGTGGGCAATCTGTTCGAGAACCGACAGGACCCCGGATGCGACGCTGACGTGTATTGGGCACAATTAGCGCCGATATAATTGCGGTGCTAATTAAATCGGTGGTGACCTTGTCGTGAGGAAAAAAAAAAAAAAAAACCGCCTTTATATATTACCGATGAATAGCGATCAGATGTAAATCGCGGGTGTTCGGGAAACGTTATCAAGTCCGATGGCCAATATTCTTTATCGGGTATTATTATTTTTTAATTTTTTTTTGTTTTTTTCCGTTTTTATGAGTCAGCGTCATAACCGATTTACCCGACGGACACAACACCAATAGACACGGTGGTCTGTAAACAAATAGTTGTACAGCGGGTACCCGGGGGCCGAAACTCGGTAATGTAAAATTACATGTCCACGTTACAATAATGAAATGCCACGAAAAATAAACGGGCAATATTATTATTAACACACGAGAAGTTTTTCCATAGAGTCTGGACGTACAGCTGAAAAGAAACCGTTTTGTCCCCGCTCTGAACATCCGAATCTAATCTCACTGGATATATTAAATCTAATTTAATTCATTATCGATTTACGATACATTTTATAATTTCACTTTGAGAACGATTGATAAAAACAATCGGATAAGTAGGTACCACGAATAACACGACCAAGACTAATTTATTATTACGAACAAAACAAAAATGTAATTAATTCAAAATAAAATGTTACCTAATGTACGAAAACATTTCACACTGTACGCTGGCCCGATATTTAGCTACAGGTATCATCTTATTGTGATTCGCATTGAAAAATACAAACTAACGAACGGTGAACGAATTCCGTAAATTATAAATACCCATATTATCATCACAAGTATACATTTATTTAACAGTACTATATTTCATTACCTAAGTTGAAAATATTTTTCCCGTTTTCATTTTGGAGTATTGCAGTTTTAAATATTTCAAAAAATGATATTGCATATTAAAAGACAAAAAAAAAAAAATAGGTACGAGAATAAAAATTCTTTCTTTGCATGCTCTATAATACTAAATAGTAAACTAGCAACTTTAACTAATTGTGTTTTTTATTTTTAGCTTGGTTGGTTTAAATGTAAATTTAATAACATTTTAAAGTGTACTAAAGCTGAAGTAAATGACTAATAATAGTATATAAAACAAAAAAATAGTAATTATGCAATATTAACACAATAACAACTATACATTTTAACATAACAGTATTGAAATAGTTTGTTGTCAAAAAAAACCACTTATTTTCAAAATGTTTAATTTTTTTTTAAATTTTTAGTGAAGACTATTACGGGGATGTAGACCTAAAAGCACTACGAAAAATTGGATACAGACGTTGATCAAGCAACAAACAATAAGTTCTCAACCTGAACCAAAGATATTTCATACAACCTGGTTCCGAATGAACATTGGGCGTTGATCAAAATACCAAACATTTTGTTATCAATAGCAAAATACATACACACATGCGCTTGCCAAAAAATAAATGCATTTTTAATATTATTTATTTTGTTATATTGTTTTGATCAAATAATGTAATATTACTTAACTTTATACAAAATATCATTCTGAAACAATAATATTTATATATCATGACTAGAATGTAATATAATATATATATATATATATAGTTCATATATTACTTAATTATTAAATCTTATGAGTTAACATAAAAATGTTGTAAGCTTAAATATTTAACTATAAAACTTGGTACATAATAAGCAAAAGAAAATGTTCAAAAAAATCACAGTAAGATACATTTATGATTTATATACGTGTAAATAATAACCTCGGGCATTTCGGCTGTGACACCGTGACTAGTCACAAAAAAAAAAAAAAAAAAAAAAAAAAAAAAAACAAACAAACAAACAAATTGAGCAAACAATTTAAAACAGAACACAAAAATTATTATTTTATACACAAATGAAAGTTGCAAAAAAAAAGTATAATTATATAATTAATAAATAAATAAATGGCGATACATTTTGATTTTTAATTTCTAAACAAATTTTTGGTTAAATCAAAATGTTGAATAACAAAATATTTTTTTAAAAAAAATCAATCAATTACACTGTACTTTTATATGTTATGTATATACATATACATAATATATTTACTTTCTTAATAATAAGAATTCAGTGATTAAATTCACCAGTTAATCGACAAATAAGGAACTGGTTACCAGTTAAGTTTCATAAACAATCTTATAAAATATTAATAATATACTATGATCGGATATGAATGCTACTAATTGCAATCACCCAACTATTTAACACATAAAATAATAATGAAATGTGCCTTGTGTAAAAAAAAATTCAACAGAAAAATGATTAAAAAATAATTTTCAGCAACATTAATAGTAACTAGACCTGTCATACAATAATTTATAGGTATATTTTGTTTAACATTGCTTTTCATAATTTAATATTATATTATTGTTATATATAAATTGTCTTTTTAAATTGCTAATTAAATCTAATATGATTCAATAATGTTAAATTGCTCTAATCAAGCAATATAAATTTACTCACTGTTTTTAGGAACAGATTCTTTACGATTCTGTCCACACAGTAGTTGTCATATATCATTAAACTGGCAAACAACACGACGACGTGGTTGAGGTGTGTATCTTCGATCTTTTTCTTCTAATTTTGGTTGACCAAACAATCGATGTTGGTATAAGGTGTGCATGGGTGACGATCCACTCTCCGATAAACGTCGTGGTGGTGGAGTTGGTGGTGCTGGAGACACATAACGTCTGCATAAAGCTGGAGAACCTTCAAAAGTCTTACGTATTGGAGCTGGAGAAGGTGGACACACTTCGCGTCGCGTCACCAGAGGGGATTCAGGCACGGGTGTGTTTTGGTTTCGTGGGGGAGGACTAGGAGGGGTTTTGCTCCATGGAGCAAACTTGAGGTAGGTAGATATCAAACTCTTTCTTGGACTAGGTTTCGGTGAATCTGGAGGGTTAATTTCTCTAGGTGTAGAACGTTCAAACCTACTCGGCGATACTGAAGACGACCTAAAGTAGACAATAATTATTGTTGAGTATTGTTATAACCATAATTTGTTTAACATATTCCTTATTCTCACCTAGAATGATATTGATTTTGTTGATGGTAAAATCGTTGCAGCACTAATGGGCTAGTGTTAGCAGAAATATTGCCCCCATTTGTCAATTGTTTGTATGGAGATAACAATACCGAATGAGGCATTTCTGCGCTTGGAAATCGTTTTATAGGTTTTGGAGAGTCAAGTACCACATTGCTGTAAAGAACATATAATATACAGTTATTAAATATTATATTAAATAACCAATTAACTAACCCATTAATTTTGTTCTTTTCGATTAAACTCAATGAGGGAAATTGATGATCTGACATCTTGCGGACATTAATAGGAACATTTTCATTACCTGGTATTGCTGGACTAAAACTGATTAAATAATAAAATGTATACATCATATAACATGAACACTTTAAATAAAAAAATAGCAAAAAATTACTTGGGTAATTGATTCTGATTTGTGGCTGCTGCGTACCATTCAGCAACATTAACCGTTTTCCACGTATATTTTTGCAAAAAGGGATGTTCTAATAACTGTTTATACTTTGGACGTAATTTATAATCTTTGATTAAACTTTAAAAAAAAAAAATTATATAAATATTGCAAATATACTTAAATTTTAGTTGGTTTAAATAATACACACCAATTGGATACAAAATTTCTAAACTCTAAGGTGAACTCTTGATCTTGAGGAAGTGAAGGGGGGTCATCGTTTAAAACTCGACTCAATACTTCAAAATCACATTTACAGTCACGATATGGAAACACACCTGTCGCCAATTCTACTAATGTTATGCCTAAACTCCATATGTCAGATCGTATATCATAGTCCAGTTGCCTAGGTTCAATTCTTTCAGGCTAAAGAAACACAAATATTTTTATACACAATATATAGCTATTTTTGATTTTACAATTCAACTAATATATATACATACAGCCATGTAAGCAGCGCATCCAGCATTTTTGGTACGAGCTTTCGAATCAACTAATCTCCCTGATATACCAAAATCACAAAGTTTTACATTTCCTCTTTCATCCAACAAAATGTTTGATGGTTTTACATCTCTATGGATAACGTCATGCGACTCTTTTAAATAACTTAACGCTTTTACGGTCTACAAAAAAAAAATAAAAAAATATTGCTATAATTGAATTTACTAGTTTCTAATGGACTTACATGTAAAGCAACTTTTCCCAATACATCTTCTGGAATTGGTGTCTTGAGTCTTCTCAACAAACGATCAAAACAGGTAGCCATTAATTCCATACAGATGCACACATCTGCTTCAGTTATAAATGCGCCCAAACACTTAACAATATAAGGGCAATCATGAGATTTGAGTACTACCTCGAGATCAGTAGTAATACGTTTATTCTCTTCACTGTTTCCAGACCTTCTCATTTGCTAAAAAAAATAAAAAAATATGTACAATTACATACAACCAAAGAAAACCCATTTGATATAGATAATCAATTAGATAATATTAGTTCAAAAGTCAACTCACTTTAACAGCTATTTCAGTGTTGCTAGGTTTGTGTAACATTCTCACCACATGCCCACACGTACCACTTCCTAATTCTCCAAGATGTTCTAAATCTTTTAGTTCAGTTTTATATTGCTAAACAATGAGTATAAATAATCAATTAAATAATAACTGTACTGTATTCTGTAGTAAAATATATAGTTGCTTACAATTCCATTAATTGTCAGTAGACCACTCATTTTCATTATATGTTTCATCTTAACTTCAACTTCTGATGTATCCTCAACCCTTGGCTGCATGAGTACACAGTCGGGCAGGTCTATATGCTTTCGAGTCCTAGTTGGCGTTCCCATGTCACCAACTGAAAATTAACAAATAATGAAAAAAAAGTTACCAAGGTCACACAAAACGGTTTTAGTAATGCATTACTATATGTTACTAGTACAACTATTTAGACAGGAGAGTAAATAATAGGGCGTTATTTAATACTCACGTTGTTTGGGTCGTCTTCCAGATCCCTGTCTAGGACTGGATATTAATGGAGGAGGCATCTCTTCAACGGGATCGCCGTCCGCTTTTAGTCGAGCCTGTAGACTGATAATTTTGTTCTCTAGAAACGAGGTAGTCATTTTCGGAGAATCTTGCGGAACGCGCTATTCAATAATCTGTACAATATAACAAAATAATTCTCAAACCAATGTTGACGAACAATAGGTCCTCGAACTCATGGTACTTCGGACTAAGAAAACTATTTTTACACAACGTTGTCCGGGAAAATTTGTCAATTAATATTAAATTTGATGTTATTTTTATTGGCAGCGGAATCGTCAGTCGATTTATGGTAATCACTGTTCTTATCACAATTACGAACCCTTGACAGGTCTGTACAGTAGGACCAGTGTTTAACGAACGACAAAAATCGATATCAATTCAACATTGCCAACATAGCCGCTGCACATTATTATCGCCGCAAAGATGATAATACACGTACGCGAATGATAACGAGAGATGAAATAACAAAGACGATTTTACATTAGTGTGGCTATTCGGTATATTTTGTTTTAGATGATCGTATCCTCGTCTGTTTAACTCCACCCGACTTCAGCGTTGTTATTTACCACCGAGGTTTTCCAATAAATGGGTAATTATAATATTTTTATTGTTTTACAAAACACGTCTGATTTCAATTCAAATTGAGGTCTCACGGTCGAACGATATTCAAGTGAATTTTAACATTTATTAACAGGTATATAGTTTCTAAGACACACAAACAAGATGGGTTTAACGTTGTCGACTGTTTTCACTCGTTTATTTGGCAAAAAACAAATGCGCATCCTGATGGTAGGATTGGACGCTGCCGGTAAAACTACCATACTATATAAGTTAAAACTTGGCGAGATTATCACCACCATACCAACGATTGGATTCAACGTCGAGACTGTAGAATACAAAAATATTGCATTCACGGTGTGGGACGTAGGTGGCCAAGACAAAATCCGCCCTTTGTGGCGGCACTACTTCCAAAATACCCAGGGACTGATATTCGTCGTAGATTCCAACGATCGAGAAAGAGTAGCAGAAGCAGAACGAGAACTACACAACATGTTGAAAGAGGACGACCTCAGAGATGCCGTTCTGTTAGTATTTGCTAACAAACAGGATCTTCCAAATGCAATGAATGTATCGGATCTCACAAACAAACTTGGACTGAACCAGTTGCACCAGAGAAAGTGGTATATTCAGTCAACTATTGCCACACAAGGCAATGGTTTATATGAAGGATTGGATTGGCTGTCCAACGAACTAGCCAAATAAAAAATACCGCACTTGTTTGTGCCCTCTGTAACATCCTTTAATCATTGTATAAGATTAATATTCATTTCTAGTTTTGATCATAAGAAATCTACATATTTTATTAATTATTTATTTCTTTGTTTTTAAGAATATTATTATTTTAATATTGGGATAATATAATATGTCATTTAATTCTACCGCATTTAATTGATTAGGTACTATAAGTTATTTCAAAACAACAATTAAAAATGTTCGGATATAAAAATTATTACCTCAAACTTAGTAAAGAAAAGAAAAATTAATTCATGAAAAATGGTGTAAATGTTTTCGATGTTGATTATTTTTATGAACTACATTTAGTTTTTTTATTCAATTCCTTCTGTATGCATTGTATCATGTTACCTAACAATGTCTAAAACAATTGGGTCCACTGTTCATGTTATAATTAATATTGACATATTCTATTCAACCAATTAAAATTATAAGTATTAATTTTCGAGGAGTTGGTGTAACCTAAGTTACTTTATGATTTTTATCAATAATAAACTGCCAACATTTGTACTAAAGAGAACAAAATATTTACTCATTTCATCAGTTTTAATAAAAAAAAAAAATTGCTTCATAATAAATTTTTTGTAGAGCCATTTAGCCACTAAAATCACATAGAAAATTGCTAGTCTGATCAATAATTTATTTATTTTTTCTTCAGATTCGAATGAATAACTTTTTGCGCACACTTGGTTCAGAGTGTACTCATTAATGATATGATCATTGTGATATTGTTTTCAAATGTTAGCAGTATGGACTTTGTGCATTTAAGATCGTTAAGGCCGTATAACGTTTCAATTGTCAATAGATCACAGGAATTACGATGGTTACGTAAAGTTATGTAATAGTTTTTGTGCGTAAAACGAATTAGCCGACGACGATTTTTGTTCCAGAATATTATTCAGGCGATTTGATATTGGAAAACGTGCGACGTTTTTCCTGATAACAACTCGATTTCCATAAACACTATAAATTTATTAAAACGAAACGTTCAAACGCGCCGATTGATTTGTTTCCCTACGCGAAATCGTTAACGGAACGTGTTGCGGAAAAAATTCTTGACAATATTGTGAAAAAAAAAACAACAGTATTTACCACGAGTGCTGGGAACTACAGTTTTGGGGCCGAATAATTTTCAATATTTTTAACGGCAATGCCATGGTTGGTCTTTGGTCCACGGAAAACTTACGGATTCCGTTCCATTTATTAACCGCGTCTCTCGGATCCGAGTCGTTTGATTATATTATTATCACGTCGACTTTGGGTCTTTTGCGCGACAATTGTGCCGGCCGGGCATTTCACACGGGCTTTATTGCGGTTGCTATCGTTTCGCGACCGGTCCGTTTGTTAATTTTCTCTCGGTTCGCCGAAAAATGAATCTCGTATCCGCCGCCGGTCTGGGACGTGTGTGGCGGGCAAAACGGTGTGAAATACCCGAGCGCGAGCGCTGTCGAGCATTCGAAATTTCGCGTCCGCCCAAAAACCTATACGCGCGCTATACACCACTAATAAGTAGGTGTAACACGGTTGTGGTAGACACTGAATTATTGCCTATCTATCGATATTTTTTTTTTTTTTGAAATTTTTTTCACACTCCGAACATATTTTCCACTTTTCGATATATCGTATTCTAGTCGCTGTCCAAACGTGTTACGGACTATTAACGAGAAAAATCGCGGTCTCCGGTGTTAAAATCCGGACAACGTCAGTGTTGCGTTTGTGCGCAACACACCGGTGTAGGACGGCCGAAAATCGATTCCCACGATAATCGGTCGGACCGCATTTTTGTTTTAATGCGATTTATTTTTTCGTATGCCTTCGACGTTTGACGGCTGTTTGCGAGACGACTTCAATAGCCCCGCCTATAGGTACTTTTGTGTAAGGGCTTTTCGTGACACCGCAGCCACCCAGTCTATGATCCGTAACGCGTGGCCGGGTCGAAATCCAGACTGTAAAGACTTTTCGCCCCTCGATGCCTATATCCGATGACCTAGCGGCAATTGTATGCTCGTAATAACGATACATTCCGTCGATGATGTTGTTGACGGATTTCGATTTGAACAATGGTTATGACGTCCCATACAATCCCCTACGTCCGTACAATAATGTGCCCAGCCGCGGGCAAAATGCGTACGGACGTCGTCGGTCGTTCCACGAAAATATGTGGAATTTCTGGGCGATTTTCAGCCGACCCCCAACCCCCCCATTAGCCCCCCGTTGAACGTGGCTCTGCGTGTGTAACTCCCCGAAAGTAGATAATCGGTAATTGCGGCGAGCAGTTCTCGGCGCAATTACGTACATAGAGCGGCGGCGAACACGTACGCCAAAACGCGCGTAGACGTGTAATTCAAACGGCGCCCAAGCCCCGCCCTGTGAATCCAACAGGATTTGCACACCGCAACGGATATACGCGAGATAATCGCGTAATCCATCAGACGGACAACGTTACGCGAGTGACGATCGAGTTCCGGTCGTTGACGATAGTTGTTTTTTGTTCGTTGACCGTACGGAAAAGAATACTGACCGTTCAGAAATCCCACAGCACATGCAAAAACAGATGACAACGGGGTAATAAGAAGCGTAGTTCGTTGATAAGCGATATCATCGTATGATATTATTCATATTGTGAATTGATTGTTTTTTGTTTTTACGTCGATTTTGAACATTTTAACTAGAATTTTGCCCGACGCCACAACAATGGAAACTACTACAGAAATTGAGCCTTTCATGAAAACCGGTTTTAAACTTTTGCGTCGTACCAAAGATCCGACTTCCATCAGACAGATGTTAAAACATTTGGATGACGCCATACATGAGCAGTATGGTGTTCGGCGTCCAGCGAATGCCGCGAAAAAATTTGCAGAGCCCACCACCTCACTCGTGTCTAGAGATTCCGGCAATGATCAAACAGAGGTATGTAATCGCCTGATATAAATAACGTATTATAATTTGTAGCCTACATATTTTAAACTGTTTAGCTGATAATCGATGATGACTCTAGCAGTTCAAGTTCTTCATCCGGTCCCACTTCATCAAAAAATATCATAGACTTATGTTCCTCTCCTCCTCCTACAATTACACTGGAACAATCCAAATCCGATCCAGTCATAAATTTAGACTCAGATTCTGATATGGAAACAGACACTATAGAATCCTATTCGTGTTGTGCTTGCAAGTAAGTTAATATATAATAAAATAATAAAGTAAAAAAAAAATTATTAATACTCTTAAATAAATGTATAATTTTTGTATTTATACATTTATTACTATATACATATAATAGCTTGATTTTGAAAAAATTACCTAATCATTTTTTCCTCACCATTTTTTTTTTTTTTTTTTTATTATTATTGGAGAGGGAGTAATGTTAATAGCGGAAACAGTCTCGTAGAATGTTTGGAATGTCATTCAATGTACCATCAAAACTGTCATTTCCCTCCAATAACAGATATTAACTTAAATGATCCACGAATTGTCTGGTATTGTAGTAATTGTAGACAGAAAGACACTCAAAAAGTTGTAAGTTATAAATTAATTGATTTGGTTAGCCGCTTTTATTTAAAATATTTTTTAATATTTAGTCCACAAAGGAATCACGTTCATCGGGAAAGGAAAGTAAGAAAAGCTCTTCCAAAAATACTGGATCTAAAGCAGAAAAATCATCTAGCAGCAAATCCTCTCAAAGTAAATTCATTAATACTTATGAACTATAAAATAATATTTGATTATTACATGTTTCCGTTTTTTAGGTGCTAAAGCGAGTCCTAGTAAATCAAAATCATCCTCTGCCAATAGCAGTCCTAAACATTATCCACCTACTTCTAGTACCATGATGTCTGCTATGGAAAAGAGAGTTCAAATGATGAAAAAGAAAGCTGCTAAAAAAACTGAGAAAAAAAAATAAAAACAATTTTTATATTAAAAAAAAAATACTTTTAACAAATTTTGTTTTAATATAATTTTTATAAAATAATAAACAATATTTATTTATTTTTTGATAGAGTACGTTGTTTTTCGGCAAACTCTACAATTTTCTCTTCCACTGACAAACCTTTACGCCTGCGAACCGCATTCATGTAATTTAAAGCTCGATTACCAGAATCTGATTTTTCTCCAAAAAGTTCCAATTCTTCTTCGGTATTAGGTACCCAAAATGGATCAATATCAATCACCTATAGAACAAATTACAATTAAAATCCATTAAATTTTTTTTTTTTAAATGGTAATAATTACCTCCCAATGACTAAATACTAATTGGGGGCTAGCCAAACCAGAAGTCTGTTTGCGTATTTCAGCAGAAAATGAAAAGCTCTCTACTACTGGTAATAAAGCTGTTATATTAAATGTAGACGCTCCTCCATGGGTCATATCAGAACTGATCACTCTACCGTGTCTTCTTCCCAAAACAGCATACATTTTACCTAATTTTAAAAAAGTTAAACTTAATATCAAATATATTATAAGAAAAAATATGATGTTTATTACCCAATATTTCAGCATTAGCTTGAATAGAACAAGTATACATGGCTGCCATAAGTCTTTGTGGCTTAGCTTGGAATGCTTTTCTACATCCATCTTTTACAGCAGACATGATTTGTCCAGACATAGGGCCATAAGGATCTCTGTTTTTGGTTTGTTTTTGTTTTTTTTTTTTTTTATTTATAGTTTATCATTACATTTTAGTATAGACTTAAAATTAATAAATCAGTAATCACTTACGATGATATTTGTTGGGAGTCATCAATTGTCCAGTTCTCAACAACAAAACATACCCCCATCATTGGTTCTTCACATAGGGGACCAGCTAATGTGGCTATTTGAAATCCATTGACAAAACTGTTTTCATACTTTGTTAACACATCATTTACATTATCTTTTGGTTTCCATACAGACCGCGTATAATCTTAATACAAAAAGTTAAGAATTTTCATTAGTTTAACAATATTCTAATAATTAAACAATTTGAATTAAAAAATAAACATAAATGAAAATTTTAAATAAAATATGATAACTGATAAGATTCTGATGAAAATTAATTGTAAGAAGTTGAATGTATTATTCACAACTATAACAAATGAAATAGATTTAAATAATATTATGAAAATCAATTTGATTAGTATTATATGTTAGTTGAATTAAATAAATTAAAAAAATGAATGGGAAAAAAACAAAATTAATACCATTATTATTGTAAGAACTGAGATTTCCTTGAAAGAACAATGTAGTTTTTATTATGTCAAAATATATTTTATATAATTGTTTGAAATTATTTAAATAATAGGTATTTACTTGATATTTTATTTAATAAAATATTTGGACCACATTTTCTAGGACCGAAAGCCCATATTTGTGAAATGTCAATACTATCTCCAAGTGCTTCTTGCAATTGTAACTGAAATGAATCAATAGTCATTTTAATGTTTACATTAGAAACATTATCATTGATTTCTAGTCGCTCTAAAGTGTCAGTTATATTTTCGGCTTGTTGTTCAGACAGTGCTCTTATAATGTCTGCAGATTGCTCCAAAAGATTTGTGGCTGCTATTGGCAAAGGTTCAGCTCGCAGTTTAATACAACATAGATGATTTGATGTATAAACATTCAGAACACCTGTAAGATTTTCTTCTGTTTCATTTTTCTAAAACACAAACAATACTCAATAATAACTAATAAGTAAAAAAAGGGGCATAGTGGACACACCAATTGCAAATTAGCAGTAAGTTTATGCTGTCCTATGTCTGCTCCTGGAAGGATATCCATCCCAGATTCTTAACATTGTGCAAACACTAATATGAAATAGATAATTTGTTTTACTTTACATAACACTATAATAGTCAAAATTGTAATAAGTTTTAAAAAAATTTAATAAATAGATAAAGATTTAATAATGTAATAAGAAAATTGAAAGTTAAAAAAAAAAAATACACAAAAACTAAATAAATCTGTTCAATTTATCTGTTATATCAACTTAAATCATTTATTTTTTCAATATTTTTAATTCATTTTTTGTAAATTAATAGATGAACTATTAATTAGTTATATCAAATGTAGAAATAGATTATTTATTTATTTTCAAAAACCAAATATTCAATAATATCATTGCACTATATTAAGATAATTACTTGATTTTGGGTTTCAACAATTTCATTTGCCATATCCATTTTAGGAGGTACCACAACTGTCTCACGGAAAGGCACTATAGGAGCTGAAGCCACAATATCTACTTTAGCATACCTATAAAAAAAAATTAGTTTGTAAATACATATTTTTACTTAGTATTTACATACTTCTGAATTGATAAACCACTAATTTTAACTAATAATAAACATTTCAATTTTGACAAAAACAAATATTTAAGTTTCTAATGATTGTATATTTATCCAATTATACCTTTCACGAAGGTCATCTAAGCATTTCTGTAGATGTACTTCACCTGCAGTCACAATTACATGCTCACCAGTTTCTTGCATTATTACCTAAAAATTTGATCATACCACATTATTAAATAACAATTATTGTATTTAACTATAATTTAAAAACACCCGTAAGCAGCAGAGTTAAATTACTATAGTTGAATTTTCCCCCAAACTAGACAGTTTTTAATTTTTTTCTATAATCTATCTAAAATAGTAGTTAAGGTTGACAGAATTTTATTACATTTTAGTCTATAGAAGTATTTAAAACCTAGTATCTCCGATGAAAACATGAAAATGGTTAAGAAGAGGGTATAAAATTAAAATCTCCAAAAAGCACATAATTTTACATACACCACATATACAGACAATTTAATTCCTTTGACTTTAATTGGGAGTTTTTAGGGATATATATAAAAAAAATACTTTTCTCCCACAACAGCATAGTGAAATTCAACCAAAATGTTATTACTTCAATCCATCTTAAAACAACTCTAATTCCTGTGTTTAAGTTTATTTGGTACAGGGTTACTACAAGTGTCAACAAGTATTTGAAGAATTAAGCATCAGGAAACTCAAATAGCCAAATAAATTTGACTATAAAAACACTTTATAATACTCAGAAAAAAAATCATCTAAATAAAAATGAAAGAATTAAGCTTATACAAAAATTGTTACATTTGTTTGGGAAGGATTTGACAAACACTATTATTAACTTGTTAGATCAAGCAATAATTATGTTAAACATAGTTTAATCAAAAAATGATATAATAAAAATACTAAGGACATTCATTGAAATTTAATTTTAGATGATTCTGAAATAACCTGAAACATCCAGCAGTTAAAATAACATTAAAACCTTTTAATATTTACAAGTGCTACAACTGTAGACAGTTAAAACCACCAAATAGATTTATGGTGAATTTGGATTTAACAAAAATAACTACATGTGAAGACTGTAGGCACTTGTATTATATTGCAATAGAACAATTAAATTTAACTTTTAAATTGACATGTTATAAGATATTAAAGCCACGGAAATAAAATTGTTTGCAAAACCTATTGTAGTGTTTTTTTTTTTAATAAAGAAGATATCTATTACTTAGTGAAAATCATATCGAAGGCAAAATCAACTATAGGTGAAGTCACGAATTTGACAAAATTAACAATGGTAAGACAATGCAACAATCTGGACTGGTCTCTGTCAAAAACACAATTTTGTTGGAGAGACTTATGTTTATACTAGGATGACATCAGCAAAGTTTATACGTCAAAATGGATTGATGAAATATGTCTTAAACATATCAAAGCAAAAAGATACTTCAATGGTTCAACTCAAAACTCGAAAAAATTAATAAATCATTAACTAACATTTATTTTTGCAATAATAAAAAAATATATATAATATGTATATTAATCTTTATTTAAAATCAAATCATTATTTAAATATAACTATACTAATATTATAAAGAGGAAATATTTTTTATGTTTGTTACAAATAAATTTAAAAACTACTGAACTGATTTCAAAAATTCTTTTACTATTAGAATGCTACATTATCAAGGGTAACCTGAGTAACATAGGCTATATTTATTACTGGAAAAAAAAAGAATCCCTACGAAAATTGAAATAATTAGGTTTTTAGGTATTTTTGTTAATTGTTTATTTATTCATTATTTGTTTATTCGTGGATTACCTTGGTGCTATGGATAAAGATATTATTATTAATATTATTTCTATTATTTACACTATAGGCTACCTTAGGTTACTAAAACCTACTATTCCATGTTAATGGACGAAAAAAAAAACACAAAACGATGCGCTATAAATTTTAAGAACACTTTTAGTCAACTGGACTAAACAACTTATTTTCTTTTGTTCGTTATACTGATACAGGCAAGGCAATATGGGAATAAAGGTAAAATTAATAAAAAAATTGCTACTGGAAACGATGGACAGAGGACAACTAGTTGAATAATAACACAAAAGCAATATTAATGTTACCTGAACACATGCATCTGCTTGGTTAAGCAATTTAAGACCCTTAATAACTTCAGGTAAATCTGTTGGATGTTTTGGCTCAACAGCAACCCTCATGATCGGTGTAGCCATAGCTTTTATTTCAGTGAAAGGCGGACAAGCCAAAGTTGTCGATAAAGTAGCACTCTTTAAAATATACTGTTCTAAGTTACCAGCACCTAAAAGATAGAATACATAAAATTAAATTACATGGTATGGAGAAACATTTTTCACAACTTCTTACCAAATATATTACCAGCTGGCACTTCATCTACAGGTTCTAAATCCCTACCCATTAACATATATAAATCAGTTATAGTGGTTTTCATAACATGCTGGTCAGATTTTATCGTAGCCAAAGTGGATTTTTCATCAACAATAAAATCCTAAAAAAAATGTCGGATTAAATATTTCAATATTATTACCTTTGTGTTATAATGTATTATATATAATATATATATTATTTACTAATATTACAATAGTATAAATTACGTTAAATATACAATAATAGCATAGAACATACTTTGTCTTTTATTTTTGATGGATCGTGTTTTGGTCCTAAAACATACACTTCTTGACCACGTCTAATTGTTCCACTGTAAATTCTTCCGAATGCAATAAACATTATATCATTCTCGTTTTGTATTAACTCTACAATTTCAGGCTTATTTTCTTCTTTGTTGTTGACTATACAATCATTAGGTTCCATTACAGATTCTTCTGGTTTTATTAAACTATTTTTTAAAGCATGCTTTATTCTTGCAAGCTCTCGTCGTTTAGTTATTTCCTCTGCAGTTAATACTTTTGGTCTATTTTGAGGTAAATATTTCCGCTTTATCTAAAATTATATTAAACAAATAGGCATAACAATTTTATGTAATAAAAAAATAGGTAAATATGTACATACCGGAAACATTTTCGAAACAAAAGCTATAACTGAAACAGAAGTATCATCTAAACAACACTTTGAAAAATCACTCTTTAGGGCAATAGTTTCTTTAGGCATAAGATTAAATTCTTTCATTGGAGGACAAAGTAAGTTTTCAATTTTGATATCAGTAAGTTGATTTGGTGCTGGACACTTATCACACACCATACCTAAGGTTTTACAATTTAAAAATTTTACTTACCTAGTAAATAAAATTTAAATGTGTATACAATTTAGTTACCTAAAACTGATATAGATAAAGGAATCCATTGTGATAAAAAAGATTGCAACAATATTCTAGTGTCTGTTTGACGTAAATCTCTAGCAAAAAGAGTTACATTCATACTTTCTGAAATTTTTAATAAACGTTCCTTATCCTAAAAATAAATGTTCACACATATCAATAAATATTGTTTGTATTGTATTTAATTAAAAATATTATTTACCTTTTGATTAATTATTACATCATATATAAGCCAAATGTTTTCAAGTATCATTTGAACAAAAATTGGTTTTTTGGCTTTCTCTTGGGCACCCTTCATAATTCGTTTGGTTTTTGAATTTAAATAAAAATCTCCCCACAATGTCTTTTTTAAAACATCCACATTAACACAAAGTTTTTTTGCCACTAAATTTGCAAACGTTTCTATACTAAAACCACTTTAGTAAGTATAATAATGTATATTAACTTATAAAAACAGTTTTTTTATAACTTAATATAAAATATTACATTTAAAACAATACAAATGCAAAAATACATTATTCATATACCTAAAAGCCCAACCATCAGCTGCAGATGCAAAAACAACATTGCCTTGTTGTGGTGAAAAATACAAATCTGAATCATCAGCAGCTTCAATGGCAGTACTCCACTGATTGTATAAATCTTCACCTGACTGAATACCACTGTGCTCTTTAGTGTCAGCTTCTTTTTCAAATACATCATTTTTAAAAAGTTCTCCGACTACAGCATTTATCTAAATATGAACAAATTCATAATATTAATAATAATTAATTATTATTAATTGAAATTTGAGACATAATTACTTGTTCAAGAACTTGAGTTAAATGAATATAAGCATCTAATGGGGTCAAATTTAATTCCAATATTAATCTATCAATTTTGTTTAACACCAACACAGGCTTTATATTTTCTGACCAAACTTGTTTTAAACATGCCTATAATATAAAAAGTAATTCAATTTTATCTTTGTATTATATTTTACATTAATTTGAAAAATAAATTCATTAATACTTTACCTGTGTTTGCGGACAAACCCCTTCAACAACATCAACAAGAATAATAGCTCCATCACAAATTCTGAGTGCTGTAGAAACTTCAGAGAAAAAATCTATATGGCCTGGACAATCAATGACATTGATAAGGAATTCAGAGTCGTCTGAAAACATATAATGAAATTTAAAAAATAAATTATTTTTATAGTTAGGTAATAAAATTATATATAATATGCTATTAATATTGAAAATATACGTATATCATACTTTTACAATGATACAGTGCTATTGATGAGCTTTTCATTGTGATTCCACGTTGTTGTTCATCCCGTCTACTGTCCATGTATCTTAGTTTTCCAACCATCTTCTGAGATATAACACCATTACTGGCTACTAAAGAGTCTGCCAACGTTGTTTTCCCATGATCAACATGAGCCATTATACAAATATTACGAATTGAATCGGTTTTATGTTGCAATTCAATAAGTTTATTTTGAGTGATGTCCCTCATTATTATTTTTAATAGGCAAAAATTAATTTATATGAAAAATTGGTAATTTACAAATACTCTATATGTTATATTATTGATTAAATATTTAAATTGATTGTAAATGCATTCTTTATTAAAATCACACTATGCATTTATTAGTCCTAGTTTTACTATATTCACAAAACGTTAAAATAAAGAAATTATAGAATTTTGAATGCATAGAATAGATCAGTTATAATTAAGATTTATGGAATTATACTGTATACTGTTTACATAATTTACGTATGACATGAATAATGAAGAAATAGAATTTTGACATGGCACATAACAAAACATTGACACATGTCTACAAGAATCCTCGTTTTTAAAAATCAGTTTATCAATTATCACCCTAGGTGATAACCTGGTTATCACCATTTACTGCGGTTATCAAACCTTGTGTACCAGGATTATACTATTTACCTTATACCGATTATAGACCATAGACAGACACTTGTTCAAAAAATGATAAAAAACGTTTTCGAAAATTCGACCCGGTTTCATATTAACGTAGTATGGAAACCATATATCTAATAATGCCTTTTATTAGGTCTATAATGAAAACGCTATTAATATAGTAATATGTATTCTATGAACAGCGTTGTCAACATAACTGCTCCTACTAGTGCACATTTTTGTGTTTCATAATTATTTAATGCGAGTTTCATATGCGCACACTCGACCAGTTTCTTACTCCGAGTGCAGTGATGTTTTCACGTGCATCTTATCTTAAGTAGATAAAAGTGCCTATCTTGAATGTATAATTTTTAATTTTTGATTCGAAGTGGAGCGAAGAAATTTATGGTTTTTATTTTAATTATTATTATTTTTTTTATCTGTGCACAATTTTTCTACCAGCAATTTATAATGTTATCAATTTTTCTAAAAGTAAATCCGACTGGGGAAGTACTTTAGGGAGGTTATTTTTAAGAAAATAATTATTGGATATTATATTAAATGACAATTTATTTCATAGCATCTTAATGTGATGAATTGTAGTTTCGAAAGGAGATAGTGTATAGGTATAAGATAATTTAATTTAATTAATTTAATAACATTTTTTTTTTTTTTAAATTATTGTCTTTTATTCGCATAGTATCTTATTATATAATAACAATTATTTAATTTGTGTATACTAGAAATTCAATAAAAAAAATAGACTTACTAGTCTATTATCATTTACAATGTCATTTTATTACAATAAGTCACGGTTTTAAGTACTTAGTTTAGTATCTAAATCAGTGTGTTTAGTTAATAATCGACAAAGACAATGCGGGTACTAGGGTGACGTCATTTCAATACCCAGAAAATAAGTGTTTTTCTCGGGTTTTGGAGGGGTTATAATTCAGAAATAAAGGTTACAAATAATAACAAATTCCTTAGTAAATAATGGTTTTCGTTTGGTTCTGAAATTCCAAAGTGTGAGTACCAGAAAGACAGACCTCCTTCCTACCTACATCAATTTATACTTATTTCTATATATATAGTAACTAAAATTGTTTAGCAAAATACCGTAAGAATATACTTAAAAAATATTGATTACACACATAAAAATCATGTATATTATAAAAGGTTCACCGGATTGAAGTTGTAAAAAGAAAAAATTGTTAATTTTCCCTACGAGTTCTTTCTACTGTTGAAGGCCGAAATTGGGGAAATGGCAAAGTAAGTAGTTCCCGCGTATGACGAGACAGACCCGCTTCTCACGCTGGTCGTTTCACTTGTTGGCGGCTATGGCTTAAAGAAGATATCCCCTACTGGAGTGCCGTGATTCCAGTGGATCTTGTACCGGATGTTTGCAGCTCTCTCTCGTGGACGTTGGAAGACTCTTGTCGCGCCGCTGTGATCGAATAAATATCATAACACTCATTTGCGCTCGAATATATGGTCGTTAGAACTTCGTACGAGTGACAAAGCACCGTTGAAATCCGACAAGGGAAAATGGCTGGGTGCTTCCCACGTACGACCTGTTTTTGAGACAGACCCGCGGAACACGTCCGGGAAATAGTGGCGATGGATAGAGAGACCAAAAATAACGTCGTTCGTCCGCCTCGATCGGCTGGTGTTTATGCTGTGTTTGCCATCTCGACCAGATTCGCGTGCTCATTTAAACGCATGCATTCTAAATTGATTGCCGAGACACTGTGTTTGCCAGCGACATATGTTGATGCAGTCACTTATTAAGCACTGACGCAGCAAGCAAGCGATGAACATTTGCTCGGGGACGCGAGCGCTATTTCCCGTATAATATGATCGGTAGCCGTCATCCATTGTATCGCCGTTACAGCTGTCCCTCCGTTTTTTGCTCGACTTTTAAACGGAAAGAGAAAATGTTGAAATTGATAACCGTTGTGAATTGATATAATGGTTGTTCTTCACATCCTTCTTTGTGTCCTTCTGCTAACTGAAGATTTTGGTGCTACGGTTTCTGATGTTGTACCGGTTGGTTAAGGTTTTTCTATGGCTTGCGTTGAGTTCGCCTCTTCGCTTAGAAACCCAAGAGCTCTTTCTAACTGGCTTTCTACTTCAGTGTCTCTATCCGTTTTAACTCCATTGTCGGAGGAAGACTGAAAACTACATCGCAAGAATTGTTCAAGATGGACAACATTTTCCTTTTGTTCTACTCGAGTGAGCGGGATTGGTTGAGTACGATAAATACGATGTAATCGATATGGCACATTTATCTTCGTATTCTCGGACACCCTAAAATTATGACTTTGTTTGTTTACAATATTTATATATTTACATTTATGTTACAATATATGAACAATTATATTATTATAATGATTTATATAATGCATACAAATACAGAATAATCAGTAATAATAACATCAAAGGTACTTACGACGGGGAAGTCATACTCCCTGTTGGAGATGCGGAAGAGCCATGACAGAACGACATGGTAGTAAACCGATCAGAGTGCCGGGGTTTGGAATTGCACATTTTAGAAAACGCTATACTACCTCGCGAACTACCTCGTTTCTGATGTTGTGAATCTTTTTGTAGGAATCAATAAACAATAAAACTTTATGATTGTATTTCTATTTTGAAAAACTGTTTCAGATGTGAAATAAATTATATTTTCATGACTAAATGATTTTTTTTTAAGCATTAGATAATAATAGATTTTCAACTAAATTGTACTGTTTATTAAACCTAACTGATTTCATTTACGAAAATCGTTTACATCAATATACACAATTGCACTTTTATTACTCTTGTAATACTCTTTACATTAAGCTAAATCAAAATCCTTATACCCATCAAATTAGCCAAAGACATTCAATAATTATAATAATAAAAACAGGTACAATAATTAGTGCAAATTCAACTGAATGATTTTACATTTTTGTTACTCGTGTTTTCTACTAGGAGTTTTGTAAAAAAAATGACAAGAAACCTTTTTTGTTGAATTTTATATGATCTATTTGTTCACTAAGAAAGTCATTTTTTTATTTTCAAAGTAGTTTCCAAAACTACTTGGGAAAAACAATTTTGGCTAAAGTATTCATGAGAAGTCTTTATTTTCTAAAAGGAGCTATAATAGGCAATTTTATATACAGATCTGAAACATTTTTCTTCCTATGAACGTGTCACGTTCTAGAATACATAGTTGATATCTACTAGCAACTGCTTACCTAGCGGTTGTGTAAACAGACAATAGAAAGTAGGTATTAATAAATATCAAAATACTAAAGTGTAAACGTATTCTTAAAAAATTAAAAATTACAATTTTTTATAATAATTTAGGTATTAATTAGGTACCTAACTATAGGCTATATTTTAATATGTATAATTTAAACAAAATCAAAAGCGAAATAGTTAATAACGTACCGAGTAGATAGCGTTATATGATCACTACGTAGTAATGAGTTAAGGAGGTCGAAGCTCATCTAGTTTTCATAATTTTAGACCAGTAAGCGATGCTAATTTAGACATTTATTCCCAATGTTAGATTTTAATTTTTAAAATATAGATGCATTTTTTGAAACATTTTCTAAATTTCTTAGGAAGTCTATTATCAATTTTCTCAATTTAAGACTTCCAAAATTAGGACATTTTTAAAAATTCAATTTCAATTCCAGAATTAAAATTGTATTTATATACCAAATTTCAAATCGAAAAACGGCTTCTTAAGAAACCTAGCAAATTAAAACCGACATTGGGATGTTTGTCTAATTCAGTACCACTTATTGGTCTAAGATACCTGAAATGGAATTCTATCTTTCGACTTGCTAACCGTAATTGCTTCTTTACAGGTGACTTAAATTCTCAGTATCCTGCTTGAGGATTCAAATTATCTTCTCACTGAGGCAATTATATTGAGTCCATCAATTTCTCCAATTTATGTATTACTTAACACATGTCGGCAGACCCAACCCGGATAATTCATGTATAGATGTTTGTTTTTCCTTTCCAAATTTAATTTGGTATTTAATTTGGGCTACTCTAGATGACCCTAACGGTAATGATCATTTTCAAATAATAATCTCTATGATATCTTCCTATTATAACTGTTTAATATATAGTAGTCTTCCTAATCAAAACCCAACCAATCGTAATCGCCCTCCCTTGGTTAAATTCGATCTCTCTAATGCCAATAGGTCTCTTTTCTCCCAACTAATAAACCTCACGATGCTTTCTAGTAACTTTCACACCTGTTCCACAAATGCCGATGATCATTTGTCCCATTTTTAACATTTGATGCAGATTAGTCGATAAGTTTACTTTAAAAACCTTTCCTTTCAATATCCCGATATTTATAACTGCTTTTTTGTTAATTATTATTCGTGGCGCTAACACCAATACTATTGGTAAAACTTTTATTGATAATAAACAATTTGACGTTATACACACCGATTTAAGTAAAACATATGATCGAGTTAACCACATCATACTCATCCGAAAACTTCAATCTATAGTTTAACACGGAAATATACTTAATTAGTTTAAATCCTACCTAAGTGACATGGTAAATTATACCACCAAAATTCAAAAAAAAATAACATTTAGAAGAAAAAGACAATAAGTTCTTTTTAACTATAATGATTGCGGCACACCAATCATAGACACTAGCTCATTTTATAAAAGACCTCGGAATCATCCTATTATATACTATATTATTATTATTATGACATATATATATATATATATATATATATTATATTAATCTTATGTATACATTATATTATTATTACTATACATTGTTATTATTATTATAAACTATTGTATTTTAAAGAACACAATAGTCATATCATAAACAAAGCTAAATGAATGTCGAGTTTTACAAAAAGACAAAATAAACATTTTAATTTTACTGCAGTAAAAATATTATCTACTTCGTTAATACGTTTTTAACTAGAATACGCCAGTATTATATGGAACTACTATACTCAATGTAGATATTCAAATGATTGAAAAAGTACAAAAACATTTTTTTTTAAATTCACGAATTTTATACAAACCATAAGTCTTAGAATACTGCCTTAACGCCTTTAACAAATAAAAGAACTATAAACAACTTATTATTTTGCTACGAGGCTTTAAATAGTTTTATTGATGCCCCTAACATCATCGAAGAAATTAAGTAAATAAATATTCAATTATTAATAATATATAATATATAAATAGAACATACTTTATCATCATTTGTTTGAAAAGTAGTTGGTATCATATTAAGGAAACTCTTGATGAAAATTAGTGATGTCATTAACGGCATTACAATAATAAACACAGATGAAGATAATAGTTGTATGAGATCGGCCACAGTCTCAACAATCCGAAATGTAAAAAAATTAATTTCACGTGGTAAAGAGTTAAAAAATAATGGATTTGATCAAAAGCTGAATTGAACTAAATTCGAACTTATAAATTAACCTTAAGGTTTCACATAATACGATATTTGTTCAGTCAACTAATAAGATAATAATATCAGTCATAATTGTGCACAGCTCCTTTTAGCAGGAGAGGCAAGGTAACAGAAGAGTTTAGGAGTCTGACCCCCAAATTGTTTTTTCCAGCAACTACCTTGAAAGGAGTTATCTTTGAAATTAATCCGCATACACTGTTATAGACGTGCATAAACTACACAATTATTATATTATTTGATAGAAAACACAAAACGCACTATATTTGTAGACAATAGACATACGCAGTTAATAAAGCATAAAGAATAATCGATAAGAAAACTAATTGTCAATGTCAATTTATAAAAAAAATAAAATACATATTTTGACGGAAAATCGATCATGAGTTGACATTTATGGTATTAATTGATAAGAAAAATTACACATAATTTAAAAGTCCAATAAAAACATAAATATAAAATTTAATTTCAAAATCGCAGTATGACAAATAATACAAGAGTTAATAAAATATCAATGAAATACTAGTGGGTTAAATTGTTAAACAAAAATATAACCATAAAATCGGGCAATTCAATTAGGCAGTTATACTTCTAAGAATGTTTTTGAGCCAAAAACGGCACTGACCCTCAAGTCCCTTAATTTAATACCATATTCTTTCTTATCATTTTTTAAAGGTACGATAACTACATCAAATTCTCTAGCATCTTTAAGCAATCTAAGCACAAACATATTATAGGTTGATGCGTTATTTGCCAAAAATTGTATAAACAGATTTTACATATCGAATAAATATTACATTTATAATAAACTTCTCACCTACAACAGTGGCCCACCTACGTGCGAAGTTGCTCGGTTATTTTATTATGTTCTATTCGAGAAGAGTAAAAAAAAAAAAAAAAATAATATAATAAAAGCATAAACTACAAAAATGAATAAATAGAATATATTAGAGTTAATTAGTATATAATTGGTTTAAAATTTTAATAATACAGGTAGTTCCTGTAATACTCGTAATTGCAAAAAACAGAATATTAAATAATTTCTTAGTAGTAGGTAAAAATAGGAATTGTTATTTTTTAAATAAATACAATTTGTATATAATTATTTGTTTAAAATATCTTATTATTAAGTAAAGTTTTCAAAATAACTTACTACATTTTTTTTTCTCCTTGTGAATAAATTCTTGTTTTTCCATTATTGTCTTAATAGCCAATTTGAAGGAATTAAAGTTTTCAACCGTGATAATGTTGCACCATTATTATCATTATTTTCTTTATAAGTGCTATAATAATTCTATTAATGAACTCATCAGTGTATTATTTCGTTTAATAAGATCTGTTCGAAGAATTATAAGAACCGTTTTCGGAATCCCTGCCCATTTGTTTCGTTGATTTTTTATAGGTTTTACTTTTACAGCTAGAATTACTTTTCCTTCTAATTGTTTTTAAGAATTTTTTTTTTACTTCTTTTGATAAAGGTTTGTCCAACAATGGCGATGACGTACACGTGTTATTTGTCGAATTTGAATATTAAAGAATCCTAGGTTTGATGTAGTACGGGATATTTGATCGAATTGATTAGATACATTATTGGAGTAGAAGAAATTGTTTGAAAATGTATACGGCTGTGCGTTGAAACAAAAAGACTATTTTTTTATGCTTTTTTAAGTAGCACCAATATTTATGTGATTTTTTTATCATGAACTAGCAATTATCTCGGAGTTTTTTAAGTTAATTTAATTTCTGTTTTTTCTAATCATTATATAATCGTTTAAGTTTTATTTTAAAACCGTTTTTAATACCTTAAATAAATTAATACGTTGTATATACCTTAAATAAGTACATACTTTTGGCTTTCAAATAGTAACTCCCATTTTGAACACAGATTTAAAATAGAAAATATTTTTCTAGAAATATCGATATGCATAACACTAATATCAGATTTACCGTGTATGAGTTACAACAGTTAAAATTAAAATTTAGACCGGAAGAGTTGAGAAGAGAAATAAAATGCCTATCTATAACCCTTCCCTAC